AATATAATTGGATTCATATTTTAGAATCACCACTATAGTAGTCCTTTGAATAATAAAATAGTTCAGAAAGATAGGAACTGAGAGACCAGAAAGCTGTTTAAATAGCCTGGATTTGAGAATTGAAAATAACTTTGCTCACTTCACAATTCTCCTTAATGCTAGCGAGATTTCCAGGTTTTCATGGACTACAGAGACCAATGTATTCTTTCCAGAGCTGCTCTTTGTTTCAAGGAATAAAAAAACCTTTGGAAGTGGGGCAGGGAATATATTTTTTATTTTTCTCAAACCCTGTATCTGTCACATCCTTCTTGAGGAGGCTGGAAAGATATGTATATATATCAGTCTCCCACTAGTTAGCTCATGTCTTGCTCACCATTGATTATCCCATAGGTAATCAATAAACACTTGTTGAATGACTTTCTAAAGGGCAAAGTCTATCTTCACCATATTTGTTTCTTTAGCATCTGACCCAAGGCTGGGAATAAGTTTCTCAGAAAATAGTTCTTGATTAGAGTGATCTAATTAATTAACAACTAGAAGTGCTTCCTATTAACTACATTTGTCTAACATTTCTTCAAAGGTACAACCTGGCATATTTTTCACATGAATGCAAAAGAAGCCTACCTTTTATACTGGACCAGAAAGCTTTTCAAAATCTGCAGAATGATGCTGATTAGATGGAGTTTTAAATGTAATCTTCCTCATTTATGTGAAGATATGTGGAGTTTTCTTTTGAGAAGTTTTTGTTTTGGGTTTTTGTTTTTGTTTTTTGGCATCTTCCTAACTGCTTCCACAAGTATTGTCATTGCCTGAGTATTAATAAATTGCATCTTAATTAAATATTTCTCAGGTAGATCATCATAAAGTGGTATGAACCAAGTATTTGTCTTCAGTTCTCCAGTATCAGGATAGTTACTGGCATATGGATCTTTTCCAAGGCTGAAGTGTGAACCTGAAAGCAGGACTTATTTACCTTCATTGTCACAGAACTTTCATCAATAGCAGGTTTGTTGAAGGGCCAAAAGCAAGAAGCCAAATGGGATGGAATAATTCTAAAAAGTGCATTGGGTAAATACAAATACAATAACAAAATTATTACAGATACTTGTTATTAAAAATTCTGTTCTAAGTACCATGTGAGGTCTTTGCATATATTTTATTACATTTTGATTAAGTTTCAATCTTAAAACTCCTCTTTGAGATAGGTGTTGTAATTGTCAATTTATATGTAAACAAATAGAGAATCAGAACTGATGAATAATTTACCCAGGATGACACAGCTAATAGATTGGCAGAGCTGAGATTAGTACCCGATTCCAAAGTTCATCTCACACACCAAGAACTGTCATTTTTCAAGTGTGTATTTAGAGAAATGAAAGAACATTGTTGGAGTGCCTATAAAGAGCTCTCTTTAATCAGCAGCTATGTAGTATCCCAGAGGATTTAAGATTGATAAAGAATATAATGATATGAGCATACAGATATGGAAGACAAGAGACATAGAGGTATTTCTTATGTTCTTGAGCTGTGCTTCTTTTTCCTCTGTTTAGCTTTATATTTAAGTGAGCATGTGACTTTACATGTAATTAGGCTTTACCTTCACCTTGCTAGAAGTTGATACTGTTGCCCTTAAAATTATTATCACACATATTATCTGGGATGAAACATATAAACTTTATTATTTTTTTAAACTTTTTATTTTGTATTGGGGTATAGCCAATTAAGGGATTCCCAGGCAACCCAGTTGGTAAAGAATCCACCTGCTAATGCAGGAGACCCAAGAGATGCAGATTAAATCTCTAGGTGGGGGAGATCTCCTGGAAGAGGAAATGGCAACCCACTCCAGTATTCTCGCACGGAAAATCCCATGGACAGAGGAGCCTGGCAGATATAGTCCATGGCGCCACAAAGAGTTGATCACAACTGAGCACACAGGCACACATAGGTGATTAACAATGTTGTGATAGTTTCAGGCGAACAGCAAAGGGATTCAGCCATCCATACACCTGTATCCATTCTCCCCCAAACTCTCCTCCCACTGAGGCTACTACATAACATCGAGCAGAGTTTCCTGTGCTATACAGTAGGCCTTTGTTGGTTATCCATTCTAAATACAGAAGCACCCATTGAAACATATGAACTTTAGATGTTACAATCAGTAACACCAACTTCTCTATCCTGTCCAAATGAATACGTGTTCATATTCAGATATGCAATGGAACCTCATTAGTCTAGATTCGTCTGAGCTCACTTGTGACAGTCTGGACCTTCCTGCAAGCTGTAAATATAATTACATACACTAACTATTCTCCAATCCTTTAAAGTTGCAAATATGCACTTTTTATCCAGGCGCTGACATCTTTCCAGTAGCCCTCTTCAGCATGCTCAACCCAGCCTCTTCACTTAGTTCACTGGGTTCCAGGAAGAATCAGAGTCTCATAAAGAATGCTGCCTCTGATAATTTAATTCCAGGCTGAGCAGGGTAAAATCAGTTTGAACTTCACCAAAACTTGCACTCTATGAAAGTAAAACTCAAAGTATTGGCATAATTAATTATATTAATTGGAGAGAATCTGAAGATGAGAAACCAAATACATTAAAAAGAAGGGAGATAAGAGTTGATTTTTTTTTTTTAATTGAGGGCTTCCCTGGTGACTCAGTGGTAATGAACATGCCTGCCAATACAGGTACAATCCCTGATCTGAGAAGATCCCAAATGCCTCGGAGCACCTAAGCCGGTGTACCACAACTATTGAGCCCTGCTCTGGAGCCTGGGAGCCACAGCTACTGAGCCCACCGGCAGCACCTGCTGAAGTCCCAGGGCCATAGAGCCCCATGGCTCTGCAATGAGAAGCCAGCACATCACAACTAGCGAGAAGTCCCCGTTTGCCACACCTAGAGGAGAGCTCCCGCAGCAGAGAACCAGCACAGCCAAATAAATAAATAAAATTAGTTTTTAAAATAACTAAATTTAAAAATCTAGATAGCAAATGATTTGCTTGGCTCTGTAAATTAGAAGCCTGCCCAAAAATAGTCCGTGGAGGTGAAAGCCTCAAAAAGCACCTCCAGGGTTCTGCTTTCACCAAAAACACGGAAGGAATTTCCTAGAAATGGTCAGGATGGAATTATGGAAAAAATCCTTTTCAGACCTTTATATGCTCAATCATTGCCAGACAGGGTGCTAAACATAGGAGATATAATAGGAGCATGGCCCTGCCCTCTTGCTCAGAGAAGTGCATCAGCTGTCCTGTACAGTAAATGTGAAAGGAATCATGAAATAAATATAAAAAGGACACAGTGGGTGGGCAAAGGAGTGGTCATCTCTGTGATTCTAATAAAGTGAATTCATAGCAATCATGTAGGGTTGTTCAGTGAGATAGCAAACTCTCCCATGAAAAGGTGAAGCAGAACCTGAATGAACAGATAAACAGGAGTCAAGGCACGAGAAAAGGGGTTTTGAAGCAGCAGTCAGTTCACAGCAGTCCTAAGACGTGAATGATCTGGTCAGTGTTCTCCATCTTTAATATCTAGGATACGTATTCCACAAAGCAGAACTGCTGCTCTACGTCGTCGCTAAGTTAACTCCCCCCTCCCCCACTCTCCATCGCCACCCCTCTAACAGATACATCAGGTGAGCAGGGCTCAATTATTCGAATTAAATGTGTGACCTGGAGCAACTCCCCTCACTACTCAGAGCCTCAGTGTCTTTGCCTGAGAAGTAAGGAACCCTGTCCACTCTAGTCCATTTCTGCTCTGAATTGCGAATAGTACAAGAAACCAGAAAGGAAACTCCAGAGAAACAAAAGTGAAAGTGCCCAAAGGAAATAAACAAAAGCACAAAATTCTATATCTCACTGAAAAATGTGGCAGAGTTCCAAAATACTTCTTTTCAGCAACCCGTGAACACGAGACTTGGGAGAGAATGAACTATCACGCCCTCTGTGAATGACAAAAGTGTAACGCGAATCCACCTTGCTCCATGCAACCGTCTTCTTAAACAATGCTCCCTGACCCTGAACGACCATTTATTAAGGTTTTCTTTCTAAATAAGTCAACCCACGAGGAAAGGTCGGTCCCCTCCTGACAAACCTCTCGGAACACCACACAAGGGTGTGTTCCGTTTCGGGATGAGAGAGAAAAGAGGGTAAAGAAAAGAGAGGAAGGAAAGATTCGAACTGATAATTAAGATTCTGCCTAGTGTTGCCACGCGGTTGTCATGCACAACAGCAGGGAAGCAAACTATTTTAAAACTTGGGAAATACGGTAGCCTTTAAATTTGATCGTTTCTTCCTTCATGTTAGTGAGACTTCTCTGCACCTAACCCAGAAAGGTAAACCCTCCTGGGAGCGAGAGCACGAGCTCTGGGGTGGACCAGCAAGTGGAGGCGGCCAGAATGGACCAAGCTGACAGCTTCGCAGAGCGTTGGCTGCGGGTGTGGGACCGCAACCCGCGACCGCCACGGCTAGACGGGGTCGATCTGGACCAACTGGTGTCAGAGGGCTCCCTAGGTGGGAGGATGCTCCGGGTCCGCCCTGGAAGCCTCCCTTCTCCGAGCAGAAGGAAGGGCGCTCAATCGCGCGCACATGCAAACACACACACAAACACACACATCCTTCCCGTGGAGTTGTGTCTCGTCTCCCTTTTGTTTTTCTCCCTTCCCGGTCAAGAGACCCGGAAGTTTTTTTTTTTTTTTTTAAATCCAGTCTCTCTCTCTCTTTTCCAACCCCCACCCCCCCTCATCTATCACATGGCAGAGATAGAATAAAAACAGAAAAATGGCGACGGTCACGTTGTGGCGAGCACGTTGTATCCTTGCTGCGTCATTAGATAATCCTCATGCAAATAGCGGGAAGAACAAAGGAAAGGGGGGGGTCCAGGACCCCCCCGGGGGCGCAGGTGGGTGTGGGGGCGGCGTGCCGGGCGCGGGGGCGGCGGGGCGCGCGCCGAGCCGGGCGCCGGCGGGAGACGTGCGGCCGCGCGGGGCTCGGTGCGCCGAGTGTCTACGTCCGTGTGCGCGCCCCTGCGGCGCGGTGGAGCGCTGGCCGGGCCGCTCCTGGCCGGGTCTCGCTGCACCGGAGCCCGCCCGCCCGAGGGCACGGGAAGCCGGGAGGCGAGGAGAGCGGTTCCGGCGAGGCCCGCCGCGACGCGCGCACCCTCACACGCACACGCCGCCGCGGGGCTCGGCCGGCTCGGCGGCCGCGCGGGGGGCGGGCCAGGCGGCGGCGGCTGGGGCTAAGGGCGCGCCGCTGCCCGGCGCCCGCCCTGCAGCCTCCGCGGGGGACTGCACGCAGCTCGCCACCTCGGGGTAGGCGGCGGGGCGCCGGGGCGGAGGCTCGGGGCGGCCTGGGACCCCGCACGCACTTGGAGGGTGTTGCTGGGCTGGTTTTGTTGTGGTTGGGATGTTTTTGTTGTTGTTGTTTTTCTTTCCCTGCGGGGCGGGGGGGGGGGGCGACCTCGCCCATCGGCATTTCCGCGGTTTCCCTCTGGCCCTCGCTGGGGTGTCAGGAGCGGCGCAGGTTGAACGAGGGCGCGGGGAGACCCACGGTGTCCCGCTCCGGCCCCCTGGCGGGGCAGTGGCGCGGAGGGGCGGGGCGGGTGTGTGTAAATGTTGCGCACTCGCTTTTCCCCCCACCCCCGCCTGCTTCCAGGCAGCTGGCGTGGGTCCCTTGCTGTCCGGCGGCGACTGTAAATAGAGCCTGGATGTTGTTTACATGAAGGATCCGGCGGGAGGAGTCTGCGAGGAGGAGGCGGAGGAGGAGGAGGAGGGAGGGAGGAGAGAGGAAGACCGGAGTCCCCGCGGCGGCGGTCCGGGGCGAGGGTGAGCCCCGCGCGGTGCGGGCACCGGTCGCTACCACGAGGCCGGGACGCCGGACCCCGGGGTAGGAGGGAGAATGGGCGTGGGGCCGGGAGATGGGGGGTCTGTCTGAGTGGCATTTTTAGCTTACAACCTGCCACGCAGATTCTCCGGGGCGAGAGGGGAGGGGTGTGCGGGGAGGGCGGGGAAGCCTTGATTTCTTCGCACGTTCGTGCTCGCATCCCTGATCTTTTCCCGCTTCCTCTCGGGGCTCACCTGTTTATTTCCATCAACCGGAGCTTGCAGTTGTTTTTTGTGTGTGGAGGCATGAGAGGCTGTTCCTTTTATTAGAAGCATTATTGGGGAAGGAGGGGTGCGTGGCTGTAATTTACGCCGGTCTCGGTCGTTTTTCAAGAAGGGGGAGGGGAGTTGGCGAAGATCGCGTGCTCCCGGCCGTAGCTGACCCCAGGGCGTCACCTCTGCTTTACCCCCTTCCGAAGACTCTTCTCCCTCACTCAGCTACCCGCAGGCCAGCTGCCACCTTCTTGGAGAAGGACCACACCTGTGCTAATTCCTCGCTTTGGAGGAGAGGTGAGCTGAGAAACCGACCAGCTTTCCCAAAGCTGTTCACCAGCCCTCCCGTCCCAGAATTGGCCAGAAAGTGCTGCTTTCACCTGCCGATTGCGCTGGCCACATCCATTCCCCCCACGCACCCCTGCAAGTTGTCTCCAGATGTATTGGGATTTTTTTCTTGCCTCTGGACCTGCAGCTCACAACCAGCAACTAACTGCAGGGTTTAGACAGAAAGAAGTGATCTCCTTGGTTTTAGTGTGCATTCTTCGTTCTCCAGGGGGTCTTAACGATGGAATCTGCCCCCTCTATTCTCTCGCTAAGAGCTTAGTCCAGAATCTGGCCTGAGTAACCAGTTTCTGGCGCTCTTTCTCTGGGCCCCACCCTGGCCCCTCTTGGTTCTCCGGAGCCAAATACGCCTCCCAAGCAGAAGGCACACCCTGCCCTAAATCTAACTATTCCAAAAGGGAGGAGGAAAGAGTGGAAGAGAAGGGACCCAGGGGTCTTCTTTCTGCCTGAGTATCCCCAACAGCAGCTTCCTCTTCAAGCCGCCTGCATTTATAGTCTCTTTATTCTTATCAGCTGCTCCCCATTTTTGCCTCTAGTCCTACGATAGATATTTAGGTGGGTATGGGGGTGTGAAAAAAGAGATGTCACCCCTTTTCCCTGGTGTGAGACATTTTCATTCAGTCTTTCCATTTTTGAGATGCTTAACAATTAAAATATGTAAATATGTTTGCACGCTTATTTGAACTTGTGTTCTTGCTGGCTAATGAATAGCTGGGACTCAGAAAGGAGGGGGAGAAAGCGACGAGAGGTGCACATTCTCCCTAAGGTCCCCTTTATGAGCATCCCCCAGAGTTGCTGGAGGAGACCCTTCAATGAAAGCCAGCAGTCTCCCTTCCATGACATCACCACCTAAGCCCTTCCAACTTTAGCTTCAGAACAGGAAGAAGGCTCAAAATAGAACTACCTTAGGAATCCAGCTCCTTTTAGAAGACAACTTTTAAGTCAGCTGCAGGAGAAACACTGAACTTTGACACTCGGAGAGAAAGCTGCAGTGTTTGTAATTGGTTCCTTTGGGGAAGGGTCGGGCAATGCTTTCCATGTGTATTCAAAAAAGCTTTTCCCGAGATAAGTTGAGTACCTAAGCCGATGAATGATTAATTGAATAGTTTGAGATTCGTTTATTGAATTATTCATGTGTTTCACCATGTCAACAGTAGCAAGTACTTTTTGGAATGAATTAAAGAGGGGCTTCTAGAATGTGGAGAAGGAAATGGCAACCCACTCCAGTATTCTTGCCTGGAAAATCCCTTGGACTGACAAGCCTGGTAGGCTACAGTCCATGAGGTCGCAGAGAGTCGGACACGACTGAGCAACTTCACTTCACTTCTAGAATGTGTTTTAGGGATTTTGCTGGAGAGAGAGGAGGTTGGTGGGGGGTTGGAGGGAACACTTGAAGACAAGGAATCTGAGGATGCAGTGACAGCTGGGGTAAGTATGGAAGTTGAGAGGCTTACTATAAACAAGGCCTGTAACTTTTACAGGGTGACTAATATCCTGGACAAAGAAATAACGATGGCAGGATTTTCCACCTTTACCTTCAAAGTTAACTTGGTATCTTTGAATCATGATGTTTCCATTTTTATTTTTCCCTGAATTCTCAGAGCTGAAAGAGTTGTTTATTCTTTAGAAAGGGTTTCTTAATAAGTGATCATCACTGAAGTATTAACAACTTAAAGATTAGGAGGGCAGAAAATACCTGGCGTCATTTGAGTAACATGTGAGTGCTGTAGAATGACTTGCTGGGTGAAGGGTTCTGATTTTTAAAAATCCAGATGACAGGATCTCCTGTGCCTGTCTTAGTGCAGTAGCCACTAGCTACGTGTGTCTGTCAAGCGCCTGAAATTTGGCTAGGATGATAAGGAACTGATTTTTAAATTAAAAATTGGTGTTCAGTTTTTGGAAGTTTGGAAGTTGGGTGTATGTGTCTACTTTTTAAGCTGTGAATTTTATGAAATCTACAGATTATTTCTGATGAAATTTTATTGTTTGAATTGAGATGTGTTAAGTGTAAATATGACCTGGATTTCAAAGACTTAGTACAAAAAAGTAAAGTATCTCATTAATGTTTATATTGATTACATGGTCCAGTGAAAATATTTTGGGTGTATTGTGTTAAGAGAATATGTTGTTAATGTCATTTAACCTGTTTATAATTTAGTTTTTTTTTTTTAATGTGACTACTGGAGTATCTAAGATTGCAAACATGACTTGCTTTTTGCTTATCTGGGACAGCACTGGTCTGTAATATCACTCTTTTTTTTCTTGGGTTTAATTTCCAAGGAAGTGACTGCAGGAAATACAGTTATTTCATATTTGTCAACCATTTACTTTGCCCTGCTATTTTCCATGTGGATTTGGGGACCCCTAAGAGTTACTATTACAGTACAATAGAGTATTATTCAGTACAAGTACAGTTTAATAGTGACAGCCCTGCAGATTTCTCTGCAGGAGGAATGCCCCGCTTAGGAAGGTCAGTAAAAATGTCCAGGGTATTGGAAGGGCTAGTTAGGGGTATCATGAGAAAATTTAGAGACCCACATATCTGGCCGGAACTGCTTTTGTAAAAGCTTTCTGGGAATACCAAACTATACCAAAGAAGAATGTGTGGTGCTTGGTGCTACAGTTGTGACAGTTGTGACACCTGGTGACATCTTAGTGATGCCACACACTTTTTAAAATTTTCTCTTTCTCTGCTTTCACTTTCTGCCCCCACATCATAGCTCCACTGGTGGGAAGCCCACAAAGTTGCTGACCCCCTTCCTCAAAAAAAGTATAATGTTGACCCGAATGGAATGTTGATATCTTTGGAGTTTGGCTTTATCTATTGAGGTTCAGTAAAGACACTAGAAGAGACTTGGGTGTTTAGTACTATCCCCTCATTTTACAGATGACAAACTATCAAGTACCTTGCCTGTTGACATATAGACCGAGGAATTCAGTGTATACTTTTGTTGATAACTTATTTAGAGAATCCCTGAGAAATGAAGGAGTTTGTCTGTGAATCAGTCAAGTATTTGTTGAGCTTGCACTTTGTGGGAAGGACTGTGATTAATTTTGTGAAGGGACATGAAGAGAACAGTCTCTGACTTCAGGAACAAGACTGTAGACTTGAGGAAATCAGATGTAAACAGAACCAAAGTAAATCACAGTTTAAGATCCAGCAGTCATAATGAGGGCAGTACCTTGTGTTACAAGTAGAAACACATTCCTTTTCCATGTGTTACAAGTAGAAATGTGTTCCTTTTCCAGATGTAGGAATAGAAGCTCTGAGTGGTGGACTGTGCGGAAGAGAGGAGTGTGCTTGTGTTTTTGCACCAGCCCAAGGCTCTAGAAGTGGAGGTCAGTGCATGCCTTTGGTATGCCCCCCCTTCAGCTGTCAATTATGGGAATTTGAGAAGTAAGACCCAGCATTTCTAAATGGCAGTGCTGAGGAAATCACAGATTAATAGATGACCAGCGTTTTTAGAGATGGTTAGCTAGGGGTGGATCATTTTGAAGTTAGCTGGTATATTTCTAACTGGTTATTCTAAAAGAATACGATAACAAAGATGAAATGAAGTAAAGCTGACTTGTGAGCAGACTGTGAAATCCAAAATCTGGGGCAAGAATTAAATCTCAAGCAAAATCCAAAAGTGAATTAAGTTGACAGTTGGACTACAAGTGTGTATGCTGAGTTCATGTGTAAAGGGGAAGGGCCCATAGAATAGAATACTATATTCTATCAAACATTAAGCAGGATGGTCCAGCTGCTTATAGATTCTTAGTCTCCTGGGAGCTTTGGGGGCTAAAATCCCTATCATTTTGTTCCTCTTTCTGTCTCAACATTACTGAATATAGACCTTCTGTGTTAGCTTTTGCTGAGGTTATGGAGCATGACTGTTTGGAGTCCAGTGCTTGGAATGGGTAAAACAATGTCACCCCCTCTGTAATTAGTCCTAGTTAATGCTTCTCTGTGAGAATTGGGGCTGACTTGGCACCAGGCAGTTGTCCTTGGCTTTTCCTTGACGTTTTAGCTGATTTATTTCTCCTAAAGAAAGAAAAAAATGTGTAACCTCCTCATTCCAGGTTTCCTACTAATCTTGACACCAGGTAAGTTTTTAAACACTCTTAACAGCAAAACTTTGCCATGAAATGCAAATACACGTTCTCTGTACTCCTGACAAAGCAGTAGTTGACATTAGGCATCTTCTGTTGACAGTACATTTTTACATCTTGACAGCTTGGTCAAATTTGAACATTTTGTAATGTCACCACGTTGGATGGTAGTTTTCAAGTTGGGGAAGGAAAAAAATCACACTTCAGTAAAAGATGGGTGGATTTAAATTAAACAACCTATTTGAACTATTTTAGTTTTTAAGTATTGTCAAATATTTTGCATGCTAGCAGCTCATTTCATGGTACCGTCACTTATTTAATACATAATCAGATACTTAATTGCTCAAAATCATTGTATTTTCCTTTTCATTCTGTTGATATGAGACATGACAAATTTTTTGTGTTCCACAAGGTCTAAAACCACATTTTTAGTATACTAGTTTGTCAGTAGTACTTTCTAGATGATAATGGTGCATGCATCATGAAGAAATTTTTCTCAGTTGTATTATTTTCATCATAGAAGAACTTGAGTTTAAAACCAGGTTGATATTTTGGGGGAAAGCATTTTACTCTTTCTCCCTCTTACTGTACAGTGTACTTCTGTACTATAACATGAGCACCTGCTGTCACTTGTTTTAAAATTAAAATAATTCTGTTTTTTTAAAAGAAGTATCTACTGACAAATGATTTTGGTAGATTTAGTTTTTTTAAATGCACATGTAGAAGAAATAACTTCCAAGAGAAATAAAACATTTTAAGTGTTTACTAGTATTTATAAAATACAATTTTGAAAACCTGTACTTTTGCTTCCTTGAAACTGCTTTAGAATTATTCTGAGAAAATATTAATTTAATGATTCACAGTATAATGGCAGTTTGCTTTTTATTATTGTTTGGTCACTTGGCTCCCTGCTGTATCCCTGCCCCTTCCACCCAATTTAGGTAAAAAAGAAATGAGAGGAAAAATAAGGAAATAAAGGAAATACTCTTTACTTTTTGTACCAGAAATCTTTAGTTGTCTGATTTTTGGTCATGGCTAATAGAGTGAATTTCAGCTTTGCAGTACATTATAGACTTTTAAGTTCATACTTGACTTCATATTTAGACATTCAATTGCCCTACCACTCAGTGTTTGCAAAGAATGGTCCAATAACTAATAAGTATATCAGAGTTATTTATTTGTTCCCATCTTTACCTACCCTCCAGTATCTCAGAGGAATTATTCTTGTTTTCCAAAGCTGACAGAACCAGAACTGTGGCTGGGAAATGTTAGCTGGTAATCTTTTTATCTTCTTTGATGTATCAGCTATCTAAAATTTTATTCTCAAATAATCACAATATCTTTGTTCACGTAACAGATGTTTATAATTTGGGTGAAAATGTGCAACTATTTCCAGTAACCTTAGGTTAAGGGAATCCAGGTTTTTTTTTTAATCTTCATTGCCCTCTCCTGTTTCAACTCTGTATTGCGTCAGTTGGCTAAGACCTAGTCAATGACTTCTGTAACTTTTAGATATTTCTGCACTTTAGAGAGTTGTTTTAATTTGTATGCAGGTGGATTATTTCATTGGATATTCCTTTTCTGAATATATAGTCAGTTTCATAGTGCGTAAAGTTAACAGTTGAGCTGGCTCACTGTACTCTACTATTTTCTGACCTCTGCTGATCTAAAGAGTTGATTCATCTCTTTGACTTATTTGAAGTACAGTGCTGATATCTAATTTGCATATAATGGAGTCTTTGAAACTGAGCAAATGCCTAATTGAAAACAAAATTATTTTCCAAATATCTGTCAAGTTCCAGTCAAAGTGAAATAACTTGAGAACTTAATGACTGACATAGAAAATAAAAATGAGTGAATCATGGCTTTAATAAGTTGACTATTCTGAAGCTTGAATTCCAGTTTCAGAATCTTTTTTACTTTTTATTAAAAGTACATCATCCCTGAAGATGACTTCAGGGTACATCTTAAAGGTAACAGGTAGTTTCAAAGCAAGTGATGTGTATATGTTGATTTTTTCAGAAGGCGTGCCAAAGGTTAACAATCTTTCTCACCATAACTGTAGAATTGACATTAACTATAGTGAAAAACGGCCCATAGGTGTGATATAAATATGTAATCACCATTAGTGTCATCAATTTGAGTACATTCTTAGCACTCAAAGCAAGAACAGTAAGTCTGGTTTTTTTTTTTTTTTTTTTTTTGGCTAATGTGTATTTCTTCTTAAATCATAAAACTCCCACAAGCTCCTGCTTCATGACCTGAGACACTGAGAAAACTAAAAATTTTAACCTGAAAGCAGATGTTTCCAGAATCTTTCTGTTTGCATAAATTGTATAAACTGAACAACCACTTGATGGAGTTGACTGGCTGGGTAAGGGCAGAGAAAAGAGCAGTAGGTTTCATCGTTTGACATGATTTGAACTCAGGTTCAGTGTAACCAGTGGTGTGATCAGGTAAATCACCTAACCTCTCTTCAGTTTTCAGGGTTTATTTTTTTTTCCCTTTTTTTTTTTGGCTTTCTTGCACAGCATGTGAGGTCTTAAGTTTCCTGACTGAGGATTGAACCTGTGCGCCCTGCAGTGAAAGCACTGATTCTTAACTACTTCACTGCTAGGGAAGTCCCTGACCTCTCTTAGGCTTTTATTCTCTTTCTGTAAAATAGTCTAATGATGTCTAACCTATTCCAGAATCCTTTTGTGATGAATTAATGAGTGATTCATTGACAATTCCATAGGGTTCTTGTGAAAGCCAAAGCAGAATGCACATAGAAAATTATTGCATGTTAGGTAGATGTGAAGTATTATTGCCATGTTTGATTATGAGCACTTTTGAGGGTAGGGACTGTTTCTTATTTACCTTCAATTCCTGGACATCCAGAAGATGTCTTGGAACACAGTAGACCTTCAGTAAATATTTACTGCATGAATGATTGAGGTCAGGAAGATGGAATCAGTGAATCCCTGCTCAGTAGAGGCAACATTGTCAAATAGAGCCAGAAAGCTTGTTTGATGTATTCGTGTTGGTTCATCATTAATATGTATAAAGCATATGTTCATCATTCGTCTTACTATAATTCAGCCAGCCCTTTTACTGTTTCAGCCTCACCAGTTACTGGGCTGTGACCCTGTTTTTCCTTCTGCTTCACCACCTTCCAGAAGGGGATCTTTCAGTGCTTCAGTCCCTGGGGAGCCGTCTGAGGGAGTCCTGCCGGAAAGGATGCCGGCGGCACGGTGACTGACAGGCTGCCCTGGCTCAGTTATCACAGTGCTGATGCTGTCCGTTCTAAAGGTACAGTACTGTGATAACTGAAGGATGGCAGCCATCTTGCCTCCCGTCAGAAGAGCCGCGTCGCGCCCGGAAGGAAGACCGAAGACGAGAGGTGGCGAGTCAGTGGCAGGACCCAGAAACCTGCCTGCCCTGTTCCCGCACGGTTCCTTCCCTAGAGCCCAGGGACTGTAACTCCGTCTGTCTTGGCCTTGTTTTGTGAGACGAGGCCAAGGAGGAGTTGGGTAGTAGTCTGTCGTGTTGTACTGATTGGACATATTATTAAGATCTGTGGAACGTTTGAGAGACTGATGCTAGGTAAGTGCTGAGTGTGGATTTAGTATCTCTGGAGTGCTATTCGGAGACATTTGTGCCACTTTTATAAACATAAAAAGTTACCTAATTAAAATAGCTTGATGCTGTCAGTATTGGATGTTCAAAATGAAATTCAGCTTAAGCAGGGAGAAAAAAGTCCTACATGTTGAACGGTATTCACATTATAGCATGAATAAAATTCCATCTTTGTCTTTAATGAATTTTTAAGATCTAGTCTAATTCAAAAAATACTTATTGAATGCCCATGTTATTGCTGCTCTCACCTTTGCGAGGGCATGTGTGCTTAGTCACGCCTGACTTTCTGCGACCCTTTGGACTGTAGCCCGCCAGGCTCCTCTGACCATGGAATTTTCCAGGCAACAGTACTGGAGTTGCCATTTCCCACTCCAGAGGAATCTTCCTGACCCAGGGATCAAACTCCTGTCTCCTGCCAAACTCTTGTATTGGCAGGCGGATTCTTTACCACGGAGCCACCTGGGAAGCCCCTGCTGTCATCTTTACATGAAAATAAAATGTAAATAATTTTACTTACATCAAATAATTAAGGAGTACTCTGCAATGTCATCTAGAATATGTCAGTTTCAGAGCTGAGAAGGCCTAAATATCAGCCCAGCATCAGGTGTGCACAAAAGACTAGGAAATTGACGAAGCACACATCTTCAGCCTGGATCCTTGAGTACTGGGGTTAGAGGTGGGGTTATTGGAGAACCCAGATTTTCCCGCATCCCTCCTCCCTGAAGACTCCCAAGGAGGCTGTACATGTGGACAGCAGCAGACAAGGATCAGAGTACATGACCTGATTGTGTGTTACATCATAGTCTGTTGCAAGGCTCAGGTAATTTCATGCAGTTTAACCTCAGTGCTCTAAACAGAAACCACTTAGTATCTTCCTACATGCACATCTGTACCTGTTAACCTTCCCTCTCCATGGATAACTGACTAGTATAGAAACCAAAGCAGTGGGCAAAGAGAATAGAGTCTGCTGAGGTTCAGACCTGCCACCGCAGGTTGAGAAGAGCCAGGGAAGGAAAAACTATATGTGACCCTTTAATGTCCAGAAACTACCCAGTATGCAACATAGCCAAGTTGATGTCTTAAGCCTGTTTTATTATCAAGTCCTTCAGTGGGACAGAGTCCAGAAGAAAGGTGACTGGGAGTGAGTAGAGAGGTTAAGTTTTGCCTCCTGGCCAAAGAGCTTCCATTTCCTGCCCATCCTATAGTCAGACATTCCTGGTCACCGTGCTCCTTTTGCTGGTCCACACAGTCCTCTGACCCTCCTCTTCCCCACCCAAAGGGGCTGTTCTTGGAGGAACCCCTTGAGCCACACCTGCTTCACCCTGAATTGCTTTCCATGTAGCATTGGCCACCGTATGACCCACGACCTCCACATGTCTGCATACACTCAGGGTGTCTTCAAACTGCACACTGACTGGTTTTGATTAGTTACAGGGAGGGACAGTTCTGCCTGATGGTGTGTTATAATACTACCAGTTCTGAAATTCCTTGGAGTGTCCTGCTCCCTTAAACAGAAGGAATTTCTGACAGAAACCCTGGAAGAACTTCTAAGATAGGAAAGTTCTGGGATTGGTGAATTCTCAAGTAACAAAGCACTCCTAATTTTTAGTGTTATAGCAGGTGGAAAAAAATGCTTCAGGGAGTGATGTGTTGTGCAATCATTGGCCTTAGTGGGGATTTCACCACCTTCCTTGATCTTCCTGTTTTCCCATTACTGGTTTTAGAAAAATTCAGATTTTATACTTAGCGGACCTTGACCCCAGGCTCCACACCCGTGGGCTGCTACCGAGCTGAGTGTTGGGTGTAGTTTGGAATCACTCCTGCATTTCTACACACTGAACCCTTCTGGGTCCTGTTTCCTGTCACCAGGAAAGCCTGAGCTTAGCCTGAGGTGTGAACTACAGAGGGCCCACCCGAGAAGTCCCTGCCATCTCGGGGCGGTTCATAGATGTAGCGTGTTCCCACAGGTGAGGTGAGAAGTGATGCAGGAGAAAGCTGATGGTGTTTTTCTGCTGCTTTATTGAAAACACATACAAACTGTCTTTGGTTGGTGTTTTCATTGTATTCTTCAGTTTAGGGGTGTGAGAATGGGAACACTGGAATTACACATAGAAATACCAAATGATGCAGTTTGTGCTTCCAGTTATGCACCCGAGTGAACGGAATCATGTTTTTGCACCTATGTTCACAGCAGCATCATTCACAATAGCCAAAAGGTAGAAGCAACCCAAGTGTTTGTTGACGAACATATGGATAAGTAAAATGTATATATGTAGAACAGAATATTACTCAGTGTTATTAAGGAAGGAGGTTCTGACACTTAAAACGTGGGTGAACCTTGATGGTAGCTACATGAAATGAGCCAGACCCAAAAGGACAAATAGGGTATAACTCTTCTTATGTGAGATTCCAGGAGCAGTCAGATTCATAAAGCCAGAGAAGTGATGGTTGCCAAGTGCTGGAGGAAGGGGCAAATGGGAAATTTATGTTTAACGGAGTTATTGGGGAAAATGAAGAAATTCTGAGATGAATGGTGGTGGTTGCACAATGTGAATGCACTTAATACTACAGAACTGTACACTTAAAAATGGCTAAAATGGTAAATTTTTTGTCTGTTTTACCACCACCACACACACACAAAAAAGGTAATACCACTGTTGCAGCCAATGACAGGACTGAGTTGATTTCTTTCTTCTTTACAGTCTTCAGTGTGAAGATAATTGCTGTTTCAAATAAGCAATTAAAATGTAATTCCCATGTCTATGCATTTAAAGTTCTCTAATCTGTAGACTGTTAGACGTATTTCCAGAGTTTCTGACATAGCATAGCTTTAAAGTTTTGTAAAATATAAAGAAAAGGAAGTGTAATAACAGTGCTAAAAGCAGAGTGAGAAAAAGGCCTCAGCAAGCAGGCAGATGAGGGTGCATCCCTTGCTGGCTTTATGTCTTTTCTGGTGAAATTGGGCAACTCACCAGACCTTTTCTTTTTTTTACTTCTAAAATATATTTATTGAAAAAAAATTCATATGCCATAAAATCCACCATTTTAAAGTGTACAGTGAAGTGGTTTTTAGTATATTCATAAATTCATACACCCATTGTCTCTGTCTACTTCCAGATCACTTTTAAAAAATTATAGGAGGATAATTATTTTATAATATTGTGATGCTTTTTGCCATACATCAACATGAATTGGTCATAGGTATACATGTGTCACCTCCCCGCCATCCTTAACCCCTTCCAGTTCCCTCCCCACTCCATCCCTCTGGGTTGTCCCAGACTACCAGCTTTGGGTACCCTGCTTCATGCATCGAACTTGGACTAGTCATGTATTGTACATATGTTAATGTACATGTTTCAATGCTATTCTCTCATCCCACCCTTGCCTTCTCCCACTAAGTCCAAAAGTCTGTTCTCTACATCTGTCTCTCCTTTATTGCCCTGCATGTAGGATCATCAGTACCGTCTTTCTAAATTCCGTATATATACATTAATAGTATTTCTCTTTCTCTTTCTGACCTACTTCACTCTGTATAATAGGCTTCAGGTTCATCTACCGCATTAGAACTGACTCATGTGTTCCTTTTTATAACTTGAGTAATGTTGCATTATCTGTATGTACCACAACCTATCCACTCATCTGCCAGCGGACATCCAGGTTGCTTCCATGTCCTAGCTATTGTAAGTAGTGCTGCAGTGAACACAGGGGTACATGTGTCTCTCTAAAGTCTGGTTTCCTCCAGAATTGAAAGAGACACGTGTACCCCAATGTTCATCACAGCACTGTTTACAATAGCCGGGACATGGAAGCAACCTAGATGTCCATCGGCAGACAAATGGATAAAAAAACTGTGGCACATATACACAATGGAATATTACTCAGCCATTAAAAAGAATGCATTTGAATCAGTTCTAATGAGGTGGATGAAACTGGAGCCTATTATGCAGAGTGAAGTAAGCCAGAAAGAAAAACACCAATACAGTATACTAACACATATATATGGAATTTAGAAAGATGGTAATGATAACCCTGTATGCGAGACAGCAAAAGAGACACAGATGTATTGAACAGACTTTTGGACTCTGTGGGAGAGGGCGAGGGCGGGATGATATGGGAGAATGGCATTGAAACATGTAAATTATCATATGTGAAACGAATCACCAGTCCAGGTTTGATGCATGAGACAGGATACTCAGGGCTGGTGCAGTGGGATGACCCTGAGGGATGGGATGGGGAGGGAGGTGGGAGGGGGGTTCAGGATGGGGGACACATGTACACCCATGGCGGATTCAAGTCAGTGTATGGCAAAACCAATACAATGTTGTAAAATAAATAATTAAAAAGAAAAAAAAACCTCTGGTTTCCTCAGGGTATACACCCAGCAGTGGCACTCACTGGACCTTTCCACACTCCAGTTTGCCTCAGTTGTCTGCTGCTTTGGAGTCATGGTAAAGATGAAATTTTATGTGTGTGTTTGTAGTTTGTATTGTATGCATTTTGTGTGTGTGTGTGTGTGTGTGTGTGTATGATTACTTTTGATGACCAAAGCAACATTTAGGCATTATTATTTCTTATTCTCAAAACGTAGAAGTAGTGTCTGAAAAGAATATAGTTAATATTTTAAAATAGAGTTTTAATAAACATCCTAACTGGACTTGTCACTCAGCCCTTCCTACCCTGATTAAAAGGAGCATTCTGTAGTTTGCTTTCCATCATGAAAGATTTTTCCTATTTGTAGTTATATGTTTAAATTTGAAAATAAGAGAAGTAAAATCATAAGAGACTAAAAGTAGACAGTAAAACCCTTCTCTAAGTGACTGCATGTGTTTTTAACCCTCAGTAAAAGGCATCATTTGTGGACTGTATCCACATCCTCACAAAGCTCTCACTTGGATTCATGCTCTGGAAATCTGATTTTGATGGTAAGAATGGCCTCCACCAGATCCCATGTAGATCCCAGCCTGTGATTATATCATCCAAAGTTAAAGCAGAAAGTTAGCTCTGCCTTTGGCATAGCTCTGCCATGCCAAATTCAGATATTTTGCTGTGCCTCATAGAATACATTCTGAGCTTTTCTGAATAACCAACCAACTATAAAGGTGCCACACATTTGTCTGTACTATTATTAAATTGACTTCTTCCAAATCGTTTATTGAGGCAGCAAGATTCTTGTGTTATACTTCATGCAGAGTTTTTTTTCCCCCTAAAAATTGCTTCCTTATAACACTGCACTCATATTTACAGTTAATCCTCACCAAAGGGTTGATTTTCACCATTACCTGTTAAGAGTCTTTTACTACACAGGTTTTTCATTCAACATGAACAAGAGTAATAGAGACATCAAAAACCACTTTGTTTTCTTCTTCCATATTCAAAACATGGTGTGAAGATTTCTGTCGGGAGGAAACGCCAAATACGAGAATGTGTGCCTGGAACATTCTCCACTGGAGTTCCTTATACTTAAACTGGTTGAAGGGGGTTTGTATTGTAATGAATGCCCCTAATGTAATATATGTTGAAACAATTCACATAATTGAAATGGAGTAAAGTAAGCTGATGACACCTTATTTTATGCATTTGGGCTATTACTGTATTTTTATTTTTCATGAGGTTATGAGGAGATGGATAGTGATGCTGAAAAGTGGGAAGCTATAGAGGACAGTTCCAATGTGGTGAGAAATTCATCTTCATTTTCTGCCAGTCTGTTTGTAAATGAAATTCCAGACATATTACTTAGATTCCCATTGCTTGCTTTTTTCCCCCACTTTGAGTATCTTTGGGCCAGGAATATCTTAGGGTCAGTGGGGGTACCGCCTGGAACACTTTGCTGAGAAGACTTTAGAGGCCACAGCTGGGTTCCACAGAAAAGAAAGTGAAAGTCACTCAGTCGTGTCCGACTCTTTGCAACCCCATGGACTGTATAGTCTGTGGAATTCTCCAGATCAGAATACTGGAGTGAGTAGCCTTTCACTTCTTCAGGGGATCTTCCCAACCCAGGGATCAAACCCATCTCCCACATTACAGGCAGATTCTTTTACCAGTTGAGCCACAAGGGAAGCCCAGGAATACTGGATTGGGTAGCCTATCCCTTCTCCAGTAGATCTTCCTGACCCAGGAATTGAACCAAGGTCTCCTGCATTGCAGGCAGATTCTTCACCAACTGGGCTATCAGGGAAGGCCCCAGCCCCAGAGTTCCACAGAAAGGGATGCCTTAACCACCTGTGGTCTGCCCTCGGGGTCTGTCAGCGGCATCAGACTGAGATGCAGGGGTACATTGCTGACACCTTTCCAGCTACTGCAGTGTTTTTAGTACAGAGGTTTAGAGCCTCTGGGAAGGCAGGCATTCTCAAAGTTAGACTGATAGACTATATTTCTGGGAAGTTGTGTCATTGGGAATATAAACAACCCTTTATATGGGGAGGGCATCATGGGCATCTAATTAAAATGTCTACTACATAATGTATAGAATTATGTCTAGACATAAATCTTCCCCATTTTTTATCATTCACTGGCTCCTGTAAAATTAATACTATAAAATTTGCCACATTTTAGTAAATGCATTTTAAGCAGTCTTGCATGGCTTATATATCTAGAACTTTGTGTAAGTAATTAGGTCTAATAGGCTAGAAGAGGACTGACTTTTTTTAAAGTTGTCAGGATTATTTGCTTGAGATGAGTTAGTATGTGTTGAATGTGCATATACCAAGGCTCCAGTTTCATCCAAATTCAAATCTTCAAAGTAAAAGAGTTCTCCACATTTCATATTTGAAGAACCTGAGGAAGCTCACAGAAGATCTTCAGCACACAAAGCTAGTAAGTGGTAGAGTAGGGGTATGAATCTAGAACAAAAAAACTGAGAAACTGAGGTAATAGATATTATTCCTACCTGCTTTGCTCGAGTGTAGATTAGTAAATGAGCCTTTGAAAAGGAAGCCAGCATATGTCACAGTACCTTCCCCCATCCACTATGTCTGCCTCTGTTACCTTCTTGGCTCTGAACCTATAATTGCCTCTTTAAAATGAAAATTTGATCATGACATGATGTTTTAAATTCCTTCAGAGGCTTCCTTGATGCTGTTGAAATCAAGACTTGGCCTTAGCATGTTCTGTTACTGAAGATTCCTATTGGAAGGGAATGCCAAGTATGAGAGTGTGTGCCTGGAACATTCTCAGCTTGAATTCCTTATATATAAATTGGTTTCCACCCACCTCTCTGGTCTCATGTCTTGAACCCAGTTGACTGGCCCTTCCTTTGTCCAGAGAATCAAGCTTCTTTTCACCTCTGGTATGTTTCCTTCTGCCTGAAGCACCCTTACCATTCACTTCACCTGGTTATCTTTGTCCTTCAGTTCAGTTCAGTTCAGTTCAGTTGCTCAGTTGTGTCCGACTCTTTGGGACCCCATGAATCGCAGCACACCAGGCCTCCCTGTCCATCACAAACTCCCGGAGTTTACTCAAACTCATGTCCATCGAGTCGGTGATGCCATCCAGCCATCTCATCCTCTGTTGTCCCCTTCTCCTCCTGCCCCCAATCCCTCCAAGCATCAGGGTCTTTTCCAGTGAGTCAACTTTTCGCATGAGGTGGCCAAAGTATTGGAGTTTCAGCTTCAGCATCAGTCCTTCCAATGAACACCTAGGACTGATCTCCTTCAGGATGGACTGGTTGGATCTCCTTGCAGTCCAAGGGACCCTCAAGAGTCTTCTCCAACACCACAGTTCAAAAGCATCAATTTTTCGGCGCTCAGCTTTCTTCACAGTCCAACTCTCACATGCATACATGACCACTGGAAAAACCATAGCCTTGACCAGACGGACCTTTGTTGGCAAAGTAATGTCTCTGCTTTTTAATATGCTATCTAGGTTGGTCATAACTTTCCTTCCAAGGAGTAAGAGTCTTTTAATTTCATGGCTGCAAACACCATCTGTGGTGATTTTGGAGCCCAGAAAAATAAAGTCTGACACTGTTTCCACTGTTTCCCCATCTATCTCCCATGAGGTGATGGGTCTCTGTTAATTGCTCAGAGAACCCTTTCCGGACAGTCCCGTCTGTGTCCAGTCCCATGGCACTGTGTGTTTCTTTCAGTGTACTTGTTACAGCTGAACTACATAAATGCATGTGTCAGTTATGTGTGTATGTGTGTTACATGTCATTAGATTGTGAGTTCCTTGAGGGCAGGGACCATAGCGGTATTTATTGCTGTGTTCACAGTGCCTGGCCCAGAACCTGCCATGTGACTCAGTAGAAACATAACATGGTATGATTTGCCAAGTGGAGTCCTTCCTGTTTTCTAAGAGTGAGAAGAGTCCACAGCTAAAAAGGTGTTTAAAATCCCCACTTTTCTGTGAACAGAGAACTGCAGCTCTGTGACACGCATTTTTCTGTAAAACTTTTTCAAAAGTTGCCATTCAACAGAAGCAACTTTCAAATGGCCTTGATCGCTCACACCCATCCCTGTAAAAAGAGGACCGAGAGCGGGAGAGAACGTCATTCAGAGAGCAGAGTTGCCCTTGGAGCTCATCTTTTGCCTGAAGGTTGGTGAGCCACGGGCTGTGCCAGAAAGAGCTCCCCACACCCAGACTCTGCAAAGCTAAGAGAAGGAGTGGGGAGAGGAAGAGGAAAGGAGAGATGCAAACTGGGTGGGACGGGGATGTGAATTTCTTGGACTCCATGGTCAATGCACATGAGTCTGTTGTGCCTTGGAAGACTTCTCTGGTGATCCAGTGGTTAAGAATCTGCCTTTCAATGCAAGGGATGTGGGTTTCAGTCCCTTGTCAGGGAACTAGGATCCCCCATCTGTGGGGCAACTGACCCTGAGCACCATAACTGGAGAAGCCTGCATGGTGCAACTAGAGAAGGCCCTCACATTGCAATGAAAATCCAGTGTGACCAAAAGAAAGGCAGCTTGGGACTTAAGTCTTCTGGCTAGTGCCCTGCCGGAGATCCACCCCCACATCCTATGAGTGGATCCCAGGAGTGAGCCAGGCTGTGGATGGTATCCCAAAGGATAAGCCTCTGGCCACCAAGGTGGGGTGGTCCGTTTGGGAACCCTTTTTGAAACTTCTGAGCCCCATTTGATGCAGAGCTTATTGGAAAGATGTCATTTGAGCAGAACCTGCTCTCAGGTTCACTGTCAGTAGTCATGAAAGGAACCAACCAAGAAAGGAAGCTCAAGAAGAGGTGAGGCAGGGGCCTGGGAAGGTAGGGGGAGGAGGGAGAGACCACCTGACTCCTCATACTTCCACCCCACACACTGGAGCTTTAGGCCTCCCCTTAGCTGGAGAAAATTCAGAGCTTTGTACTGAATTTGGAATTCAAATCGTCATCAAAATGAAATGCTTGGTGGCTCAACTTGGTAAGAGGTTAATTTGAGGCCCTTACTACTCACGAGGAAGGGGGAGGTTTTCAGAGCCCAAAGGTGGAAGATACTGGACATTAAAGTTTCATGTTTTATTCACTGATTTGAAAGTCAAACAGTTAAAATTATTCATCAAAAGGATGAAAGGGCTATAAAGTACCCCTGTAGATCAAAGTTTGCATGTTGATATTTCTTTCCCTAGTAAACCCTCTCACTGCCACTTCTACCGTGTTGAAGGAGTTGGAAATATTAGTTCAGGCCTAACACTTCCAACAGCCTGTTGGCTCCCACTACTGTCTCCTCTCTCTTCTCCAAAAAGCAGAATCCAGTAAGGACATTTCCTGGTAACCCACCTCCTAGCACATTTGCCTGAAGGCGCCGCGCATGAGAGTAGATGGAAGTTAACTCTGTTACCAGTGTGTTAACTATTACCCAGTGGTATGAGTCCACATCTTGGACCATTCTTCTTTGTGCCTGATAGATTGACTAAGAATATCTCAGTGCAGAACCAGCTGGCTTAAAAAACAAAAATAAAAACTTGCAGATGCACCTGCCTTTAGTCATACCCATCCTACCCGGAGACCAAGTCATAGACTGACAGGGACCTACTTCCTAGTTGTTAACCCCATCAGTGTACTGTCGAGGATAGGCACCCAGGAGCTCATTTGCTCCACCATTTTTCACACCGTGGGTTTGAAATCAATGAAATGTGTGTTGACCAGCATTTAAAAAATAAAACAAGGGACTTCCCTAGTTGTTCAGTGGTTAATACTTGGCCTTTCGGTGCAGTGGATACAAGTTTGATCCCTGATCAGAGAGCTAAGGTTCCACATGTCTGGAGAGGCCAAAAAGCACATAACAAGCAATGTTGTAACAAATTCAAGGCTTTTAAAATAATCTTTAAAAATTCTTTAAAAGAAATGTTAAATCAATAAATATAAAACAAAATAGAAAATAACAGTGCATAGCTTGTGGTAAAGTAATATTACTTCATGAAACCTTGCAGTTGCCTGCTTCAGTTTATGTTTGTGAGTGTTGGGGGGTGTTCCGTCACTAAGTCATATCTGACTCTCTTCGACCCCATGGGCAGTAGCCCACCAGGCTCCTCTATTTATGGAGTTTCCAGGCAAGGATATTGGAGTGAGTTGCTGTTTCCTTCTCTGTGGAATCTTCTCAGACCAGGGATCGAGCCTGAGTCTCCTGCATTGGCAGGCAAATTCTTTACCACTGAGCCACCTAGGAAGCCTTTATGAGTGTGTATTGGGACCCCAATTTTTTTTTCTATCTGGGTTTCAGTTCAGTTCATAAATTATTGGTCAAGATGTTAGATTCTAGATCATCTCACTATGTATTGCAAATTTTGGAAACTAAAGCCCAGAATGGTTTAAGACACGTGTCCAGAGTCAGTAGGAAAAGAGGAGGAACTCAGATGTGTAGCTCAGTCTCTTGGTTAATGTTTCCCCATCTTCTCACTAGTCTAGAGAGGATAGCAAAAGTAATAGCTAATAGTCAGTGAGCAATTACTGTGTGCCAACCACTGTGCTAAATACACCATCTTATTTCATAGGGAAAAGGGGTTGGTTGGTATTGTGTTTTGTTTCAAGTAAATATTCATGGTTGAACAGTGACTAGATCAGATACAGAAATTGTGAGTTAACATTTAAAATTTTTATAGCAATTTGACAGAGTAACTTTAGGTCTGATGACTCTAGTAATAAAAGCATTGGCTTGCATTTTATGTCTTTAATAAACAATTTTCTAGCAATTCATTTTCATTGTATTTTATGAAAGTATTGGTCCATGATGGATTAGAAATAAGGTCAAATGTGGTTCTGCACCATGGATAGTTTGAGAAGCACTGACTTAGACCCAGCAAAGCCAACCTTTGTCCCTTGAGGCATCTGTAGTCCTTTTGAAGTGCCGGGTGGTCATAGTTAGCTCTGGAAGGGGCAGATTGCTGGACACAAGCCCCCTGACAGCAGAGAGGGAGGTTACTATGCTATCTACAGTTAACGAGGGACTCCGATTCTCGAAACAGCTGCACTTGTCTTGGGGTGACTAGCAGAAAAGGCCCTGATATCAATAAATACCCCAAAGCTTTCATTTATTTCAGAACTTGAGGAAGTGGAACTGATGGGGATGCTTTCCCCCTCTGGGAAAGCAGAGAGAGCTCGTTCCTTGTAAAAATTGCCCCATGAGAAAAAATTCAGCACGGAACAAATTAAATTCTTATTTCCCAAGACTCTCCATCAGAGTGGTAACAGCAGAAGGACGGTGGTGCAGAGGTCTCTGGGAAAACAGGGCCGATTAAAGGGAGCTTGTGGATCTCCTCGACTTGCAGGCTCTGTGGAGGGAGCACACTTCATAAATCTTGCTGGACTGCTTTTTGGCTATATCCTCAGATTTGTACGAAGAACTGTTTTGAGTGAACCAGTGTGTCTTTGTTTGCATCTTCTGGAATCCTGAAGGCTGCAGCCAAGGAGTTAGCGAGGCTGAGCCCTGTACTGAGCATTTCATCAGTTGAACGCTTCCTTATGTTTTCCTGGTTTATTCTCATAACAAGTGACCTTCGTCCAACTCCTCGCAACACATGATTGTGGAATGTTCCCTCCTGAGGAACATGCTTTATTTTTTTCACTGGGAACACATTGAAAATCTCTGAAAATTCAAATGAGTTTGGACAGTGGTAATAATGTAAGCTAACTGTACCTGCTGTGTGCCCAGTATTTTACATATGTATTATGTTTTACATATGTATTCAGTTAGTGTTTACATGCTAACTGTTCCAACAGCCCTGGTCAAATGGAGTAGGGGGGTGGGTAGGGGAACTAAGGCTTAGAAAAATGTGGTCACTTACCTGAGGTAACTTGTTCAAGTCTCAGCTTCTGCATCCTTATATTTCCTGCAGATTCCTATCAGCATCCTTGTACAAGTGAGGCAGTGCTAGAACCCCAAAGTCATAATATTTTCATTGATTCCTTTCTTCTACCTGTAAACACTATTGGGACCTTTTGGTTTTGATTTTGAATACACATTACCTATTCAATAGCTCAGGAGTGGAATGATGCATGTGTAATAAGTCCAGAGAATTCAGAAGCCATGGTATAATAAGCTAACATTGATTAAAGACTTTCTACATCACCAGTCCATGCAGTAATTTTTACCCTCATTCTCTTACTTAATCCTTTAACAGAAACCACCTCCTTCTCCCTATCCCTGTCTGCTTTCTTTTCTGTTCTTTAAACTTTAAAATAAAAAAAAAAAGTTTTTTAAAATCTCTATTTTAGATTGGTGCATAGTTGATTAACAGTTTTTTTAAAATAACATTTTTGTGGGCTGCAAGGTTTGCAGGATCTTAATACCCCAACCAGAAATCAAACCCAGGCACCAGTGGAAGCATGGAATCCTGACCACTAGACCACCAGGGAATTCTTGGTTTATTTTCATATGTGCTTTTACGTAGTCTGTTCACTAGCGTACTTCAACTTTCTTAACTGTATTTATTGCTACTTCTCCCCCACTAGAATGTAATCTCCATGAAGGTGATGTGTCTCTTTAGCTCAATGATAGAAGTCCCCAGCAAGTAGAACCAGGCCTGGTACATACTATATATATAGTATATAGTGCTCAAATATTTGTTGAATGAACAGTCACTATAGGTAAATATCACTGTTATCACAAACTGGGGTTTGTGATATTAAATGATGTGCTTAAATTGGAAGCAGTTATTCCTTTTTACTTCAAAATCAGTTTTTAAATGTTAGTGGTAGTAGCTTCCTATCTCTGCTACATTGATGGGATGAAAATTGTAATACACAGAAGAGGAGGTTGGATTGGCCCTTCCAGTACCCTCCTTAGAGCAGATAAGCAGTGTGTATTTGTTAAATACATATATTAGGCCTCTCATCTGCAGTAGTAACTATAGCTACTATTACAGTAAATAAGACATCTTTTTCTTCTCACTATTGTGCCCCCAAGTTTTATAACAGAGTGGAAGACAAACTTTGTCCTTTCATGAATGACTCGCTAACACACGATGGCTGCTGTTGAAACAGCTGTGGGCTTCTCATGAGATAGAATTTCAGAGTTGAGAAGGGCCTGGGAGATGTCCTGGCCAGCCTCCCTAGCTCTCCCCTCCAAGATGCCAGATTGTGGACCCAGGTCCTCCTTCACAGGACAACCTATTCCATTGATGGACAGATGTATTGTCATCGGATGGCCGCATTGTCAGCAAATTCTTTGTACTGAACTGAAATGAACCTCCAGGTAACTTCTCCCCATTGGTCTGCATTCTGCTTTCCAGGGAATGCCAGAATAAATGAAATCATCATTTCACATATCAGCCATTCAGAATGTAGTTTATTTGTACTCCTTAGGTTTCTCTTGTCCCAGTTCCTCAGAGTTTCCTCAGAGCATCCTTCCAGCTATTTCCCAGTTGTGCTTGCTCCCTTTGGCATGCTCTCTAGCTTTGTTCAGATCCAACTGAGTCCTCCCATGCTCCAGGTGTGGTATTGGGATGATGGCTGTTGTTTTTTGGCAGCTGCATCACCCAGTTGACTCATTCACACCCCTGAAGTCTTTGAGTATGAACTATTGTTGAACTCAAGTGGGAAGAAAGTATTGCACAGATGGGACTAAAAATTTTATTGGTGATTATGAAAAGTAATTGTGATGTCTGTGGACACTCCTCCATTTCTCTGATACTTCTGCCGCACCTAAGACAGTTATAATAAGAACAACTATTCATTGCGTTTGACTGGGCATAAGACACGGTTCTGGGCTTCCTTAGTGGCTCCGTAGAGAAGGAAATGGTAACCCACTCCAGTACACTCGCCTGGAAAATCCCATGGACAGAGGAACCTGGTGGGCTACAGTCCAT